AAGGGGTTTTTTTTTTTTTTCCCAAACAAAAAACACATGGCATTCAGGCATCATCCCATGATAAGAGGACACGGTCTCACCCTGGGGTTTTGCACATTGCGGAAGAGTAAAACTAGAAGAGATAACAAGGTCACCCCACCATGATTGCGTACTGCGTATAATACCAGGTGGGTATGTGCGAGTGAGCGACGACGTAGAGGGCGGTGCAAGGAAATCACATCTCGATGAGTAAATCATCGATCACGCACCTCCCGCCCCGATCACTCGCGGCGGGCGGCCTAGTCCCGGCCTTGCAACAGACGTCATCCCCTCGGATTCGGGCCTGGCAGTGATCGTCATGGCTCAAAACCCTCCCTCCCTTCCCTCCTGGCCCGCAGACACTCTTCCCCAAGACCCCGAGACAGGAAACCGAGAGTAGTTCGCCTCACGAATTTGTATCGAGATCCTGCTAAACCGAGCCGTCATTCTCAGGCGGTCGCATCGTCCTTTTTCTGGAGCACTTGCACGATTCAAGGCATCAGCACCATGCCAGTGGCACCCGATGTCGATTGATTTCATGGCCAATTTGACGGCCATCGTACCGCACCTAGCACACACAACAAGCCAGGGCAGCGCAACAACAACAATAACAATAATAACAATAACAACAGCATGCATCATCACCAAAGACTACGACAGACATGTCGGTCAGTCTGACGCCTTACCGGCGAGCCCACCGAGAAACCGGATTGGATGGCTTCGCCTTGTTTGTTTACCCGCGCGTACGAGACATTGATGGTTGGGTGGGCGCTACAAGGACGCACGATGGGTAGGACCGATGAGCCCGCCTTGCGCTATCAAAGATTACCTGCATGATGATGGGAAACAAGACAATCCAATGAGGCGGCGTGATGGCATCGGGAGTTTGACGAGCTCAACTTTTAGCTCCGGGTTTGGCGCTGAGAGACAGACAAGCGTCCACTCGACAGGCGCACGATGGAAGCCGAAGCCGCGCGTGACCGACCCCTCCCGCGATGGCGGTTCCCCTCCGTGTCCCCTCCCCCCCTCTCCCGTCGGTCTGGGTTCCTCAGCTCTACCTCCAGAGCCTGTCACTTGGCCCCCCTCACTCTTTGCTTCTCCTACTCCTGTGCCCCTCCTTCTGCTTTTCGGGAAGCCCATCCATCCCACCATCAAACACGCGTACAAGCCGGGCTTCAAGTCGCGAGCAACGCGGAGCATACAGAACACCCCTCATTTTTCCCCCTCATCCTCTACGGTCGACTCTATCTTGCTTCGACGTTTTGAGGATTGCCCCCCCCCTTGACCCAAGCTTCGGTACTTGACGAGATCAAACGGTGCCGTTTGACGCCGTAACAGCGCCTTGTCCCTCTCTTCCCTATCTTTTCTTTGTCCCCCCCCTCGGTAGTACGGCTATGGTGAGGGCAGGGTAAAGCGCGGGTGCCGGAATTAAGAGACGCCCTGGCGTCGCAATGCGGGCAAAAATGCGAAGACTATCCGTACACCATCTACTATTCTCGGGTACCCCAATCAATACTTTTCTGCCCTTACACTAGTGAAGGAGGGGGGAGGGCGGGATTTTCTTCTCGGCGCTCCTCGGTTTTTTCGTGGCGGGACACTTTGTTTACGAACTGCAGGCTCGCGACTCATGTAAACAATGGGCCTCTGCAGACCCTGCATCCCAGACCCCTGTTCAAACGCGAAGTCACGTGATGTGGGCAAGGATATTCGGCTGTCCTCGGGTGTGACGTCTTTCGCTTTAGCCGCCGTCACCCAGGCGTTTGGCAGCTGGCACACACACTAAGGTTCGGTTGGCGGGATTGGTGATGATGGTGGGGGTGAAGTGGGTCTTTTTGGTGGGGTTGGAGGACGAGCGGGGGAACGTGCACGGGAAGACGAGCCAGGAAGCAGCAACAGCAAAAGCAACCCGCAGGAACGGGAAACGTATCCAAGTTTGTCGGACGATGGACCTTCACCTCCTCGTGGGCTCAATATGGAAGCTCGCTTGCTCACTCTCTTTCTCCCCTCAATGCGGAGTAGAGATTCTTATACTCTGCTTCCCTTGCAGTGGTGGAGTTGGCACGACTCGCCATCTTCATCCTACAGATATCCTTGGTGTTGGTGTGTGCGCGGATGACCAAGGTCCATTTCGTCTCTCGAATCTGGGCAGCTCCGGGTTGCTTGCTTGCTTGCATCATCGCATCATGGGCACCGCCGGCATTCCAACCAGTCGAGAAACCTTGGTATTCATCCATCCACCTTCTCCCCTTGGAAATGGAGTCGCTGTCGAAACAGGCCTCCGCGTTGTTGCATTCGCTGACGCTATCGTCATGGGGCAAGGCTGTCGAGGGATTCTGTTTACCCCTCATTCGCTCTGCACCGCCGCCTTGCAGACCATCATCACCCCCCCCCCCCCCCCCGGAATACCTGGTTGTCGCTACCTATGTTCTGTGATCACCATCATATCCCAAGCTAAATAGACTCAGTTCATTAACGCCAGGCCCGATCTTGGAACAAGTCTGGCGTGGGGAAGACACTGAGCATAGCGTATCTGTTATCCATGCTCCACATGCCGCTAGCAACTCTCGGCGGAATGAACGTCTTGCGCACTATCCGATTTCCTCAGACCTGTGGAAAACTGCGA